TTTGTCATTTCTCCGATCACAAATGCAGACAGGGTTTTATGTTTACGTGGCACGATGCAACACAACGCGTAAAAAGACAGTATAAGTCATTATAATAGTCATATATAGTTTTTGTCTCGTCGCTCTGGCTGGACATGGCATCAACAGTATGGTGAGGGGCGTAACATTTCCGTCACACGCTTGAGGTATTCGGCCAATCACAACGCACTGGATAGCTGGTCAATCAAAGCACACCTCGCTTTTCAGACCGATGAGCTTTGTAAAAATGGACGCGTTTCAAAAAAGCGGGGTCATAGAGGAGAAACAATAATGTACAGTATGTGTAAAATAATGTTTTTTTTTTTTTATTTAAACCGCATAAACACATTTCATTACACCAAATACACATAAAATAATGTTCTTTTTAGCAGCATCATATGACCCCTTTAACCAAATACACCCCTGGAATGCATCTGCTGTATACAAACTTCTGCTGTTTTATATGCATTCTAAATCATAAACATCTTAAAGACATTTTCTAAACATCTATTTGACATCTGATAGGAAAAATCCTATAGACGAATTGCAGATTAGCAAATTACTCTAAAACAAAAATTACTCTTTCTTGCATATGTAAATGCAGACCTCAAATAGACATCTCTGTGATGTATGTGCTCTATCAGGATATAGTGTTAAAACAAGATGTGAGTATACAAAAAACAAGAGTATAAAAAAAATGCATTTAAATTCTGTTCCCAGTGCACGCTATGACTTGACTTGCAGAGTAAAAAAAACAAAAAACGCTTTTTGTTCCTATACAGTAGGCCTATTTATATTTCTCATACTTTCAAAAACAACTAATACATTTGAGTAGCTTAATAAGCATTAGTAAAGTATACTGTTTTGACTACAGGGGGACTTTAAGAGAGTTTTAGGACCATGGCTCCTGTAATCCCTCACTAGTAAGGCTTCTTGAGCACTTGTCGCCTGATGTAATCACAGCTGTAGCAAGCGTGCTCGGCAGGGAATGAACTGATTTTCACTTCAAAATGTCGCCTCCAGTTGAAGTACCGGCTGTACAGCGCCTCATGTCTGCTCAAAAGGAGACACTTCGCTAGAGCTCTCACAGAGGGGAAGTCATTGACGTTGATAAATGCATCTCAGGGATGAAATGCTCTGCATTTCTGTTCTGGATGAGCCCATAGGCCTACCACTGGCATCGCACCAAGCTGTAGAGCGTTGTAGAGTTCCTTGGTAATGTTGTCTTTGTGCTCTGAGCATTCAAAAGAAAGATAAAATTGAAACAAGTTGAAGGAGCTGCCAAAAATGGATATCCAGGACAGGCATCTCTGGAGCAGTAGTAGTAGTAGTATGCATTATATATAAATTTTATAGTCTTTATATATATATATATATATATATATGAAGAGTTCAGATGCAAAAGCCTCTAAGTGCCATCTGAAATTTTCTTCTAAAATTAGCATTATTCTCAGGCTCTCATGTGAAGGTTCAGTAATAGGTTATTTTCATTGCCATTAAAGTGAAATAACTGAACATAAATATAGGAGCCTGAGAAAAATGCTCATTTTAGAAGAAAATTATATATACAGTGGGTACGGAAAGTATTCAGACCCCCTTAAATTTTTCACTCTTTGTTATGTTGCAGCCATTTGCTAAAATCATTTAAGTTAATTTTTTTCCT